TGCGGCAGCCATAGAGGAATCAGTCTGATCTCCATCGACTCCAAATTGCTTGCCTCTGTCATCCTTCACAGACTGACTGGCACTCGTAAAAGCCAGATTCGCGAAGAGCAAGCTGGATTTCGTCGAGGTCGTAGCTGCATTGACCACATCTTCACCTTGCGTCATTTGTTGGAGCACCGTCACCTATATTGGTGACCCACCGTCGTCGTATCCCTCAATATCAAAGTTGCATTCGATTCGGTGGATAAACGTGCACTTTGGGACTGTCTACTCAGGAAACGTATACCTGAGAAATATGTAAATCTTATCTGAACATTATACGCGTAGCTCAGGTAGGGTGAGAGCTTACGGCAAGTTGTCGTCGCCCTTTAATATCTCCAGCGGCGTGAGACAAGGATGCCCGCTGTCACCTTTCCTCTTCAACTTCGCTGTTGACGAAGTCATGGAAATCGCCTTTACAGGACACGACTTAGATGGTCTGAATCTGCTTCCAGGTGAACGACTTCTTGAGTTGGTGTATGCTGACGATATTACCCTAATCTGTGACAGCACACAAACGTGCCAACTGGAACTGGACAGATTAGCACTGGCTGTCCGTCACTTCGGGCTTTGATTCGCACACTCGCAGTGTAAAGCGTCCCTTTAAGATTGGCCTGGACCGTCTCCTACGCTGACAGTTGGTGGGGACAAGCTAGAAGTCGTTCAAAAATTCAACTACCTGGGAAGTCGTATCAGCGCCCGTGGGATTGAAGATGAGATCACGAAGTGTATAGCAAAAGCTCGGGGCGCTTTTGCTAACCTTCGTCACTTATGGCGCCGGCGCGACATCACTCTCACCCTGAAGGGTAGAGTGTACAATGCAGCGGTACGTTCGACCTTACTGTACGGTTGTGAAACCTGTCCCCTTAAATCAGCGGACGTAAAGAGGCTAGTTACGTTCGACCACCGGTGTCTTGGCAATTTAGCTCACATCTGGTGGGAACACCGCGTGAGCAACGAGCGTGTTCGACGCCTTGTTTATGGCACAGGAAAAGGAACTGAACCGCTCAGCACCGTTATTTCACACACCAGGCTCTGATGGCTTGGTCACGTGTTACCCATGTCAGCCCACTGACTCCCGCGCGGTTCGCTGTTTGCGCGCCGGAGGTGTGGATGGAAAAGGTGGAGGGGTGGCCAAACGATGATTTGGTCGAAAGTAATAAAATCCCTCACTTCTGAGCTGACCTCCGTTGTAGCGTCTCGGCTCCCTGGTTGGGGTCCAAAGGACGATGAACACGTTTGGCTGGATACACTTGCTGTTGCATTCATGATGCTTCTTCGTCGCATATGGGCTAAACCAACTTAGACTAGGTCTTTCTAAGCTGGATAAATTTCACTTTACTTTACTGTGTTTCTTCTGCCTACCTAAATAATCTTCTATTAACTTGCACACGTTGCTTACACTGATTGTGCTATTCTTCGGTAACTTTGTTACGTTTGTAGCATTTTTAAGTACTTTGTGGACATTTTTTCCTTATCGCGGATTCGTTTCTAACTAACTTACTTCATATGGTAATTTAGCGAAGAGGTATGCCACTGTATCTGTATGCATACTTCAATTTATTTTATTTCATCTTGTCGTTCCAAGTGATTGGCTGTTGCTTGACATCCCCGGTGTGGCTGCACTTGATGTGCATGTTGACAAGGTGCCTACCTGTCTATTACCCACTACCTCGTTCCTACTGGCTCCAGCAGACAGTTGGTCGTTGCTGGAGGGGACGGGGTGCACGGTCGTTGTGGCCGCGCTATGCTCGTAGAGCGGTTCCCTACCCTCAGTGTGGAGCGGGCTACGGTCCAGCCACCGCCTTGTGTGCACTTGATTCCCTAAATTCAGTGTGCTTGTGCTTCCGTGTGAAGGAGTGTGGGCCGGCTCTGTTGATGAAATGTGGCTCCAATCCGCATGCCTCCCGTTTTTATTCTTTCAGGTTTACATTGGATATGGGATGTGTGGGTGGTGCGGCGCAAACCACCCGTGGTCCCTCTGTAGGCGCAGGCGTCCTGTGGCTTGTCACAGTGATAGGTAAATCCGAAACTGAGTGCCGCCAAGCATGTATGTATGTGTCCCATTCTGAGGCTTATCTTGCATTCTTGATGCTTTACTGCAGTTGGGCTAAACCAACTTACATTTAAACTAGGTCATTTTAAGCTGGCTACATTTTGTTCTACTTTATTTGTTCTGCTTACCTGAACAATCTTCTAATAACTGGCCACGTTGCTTTCGCTGATTGCGCTTATCTTTGACAAAGTCCCTCTGTTGGCGCAGGCGTTCTGTGGCAGGCCACAGTGACAGGCAAATCCGAGACCAGATGCCGCCAACCTTATATATATATATATATATATATATATATATATATATATATATCAGGAAAATATGTATTTCATTATTTGATTTACTCAGTTCTGGTATTCTGCTACATTTTCCGTGTCGATTTTCCTTGTTTTTGATCCTACAAATTCTGTGTTGGTTGTTTGCTATCTCCGGTGTGGCTGCGCTGGATGTGAATGTTGACAAGGTGCTTACCTGTCTAACACCCTCCACCTCGGTTACTGGCTCCAGGAAGATACGAATCGTTGCTGGGGAGACGGGTTGCACGATCCTTGTGACCTTGCTAGGCTCAAAGATTGGTTCCATGCAGCCAGTGTGGAACGGGCTACGGCCCATCCACGGCCATGTAAACCTCTGGTGCGCACGATTGTCAGTTAGACAGGAATGCAGCTGTTGTGCATGTTGAAGGAGTATGGGCGGCTCCCTTGATGTAACGTGGTTCCCATCCACTTGCCTCTCGGTGTTATTCGGGTTTACGCTCGATAGTCGGCCGGTGGCCGAGTGGTCTGCACGTTTGCTTTGCAACCATAAGGTCACCGGTTCGAATCCGCCTAGGGGTGGGCGTCTTCGCGGTATACTCGGCCCGCGCGCGACTGGTGGTGGTCGCGCTGGCAGCGAAACGCCGTTACGGCGTGCAGCTGACACATTACATTTATTTTTACGCTCGATATGGGGTGTATGGATGGAACTGTCGGTAGTGTAGCACCAGCCACCCATGGTAGGCAGTTGCGTCCTGTGACTGTCCCCAGGGATGTCACGATGACAGATAAATCAGGAACCGGATTCCGCCAACCATTATGTGGCGCTACATTTGTCAGTGGCGAACTATATTTTCCGCTTGATATGCCAAGCGTAAACTGCATGCAGGTCGAGTTGGATTTTCGTTGGAGTATATCGGATACAATTACAATGGAAATAGCAAACTTTTAGTGTCTTTAGCAGCTGGACGCGCATGAACTGAGCCAAATCACTCCGTGGTTTCATTGAAGTTGCTGGTCTTATGGCCTCTTCAGCTTTTTAGTAGGTCAGATTGGAGCAGCAGTTTGAGGTAAGGTAAAAAATTTCGGAATGTGTTCAACGCCTGGTTATCGGTTTTCCTTCTGTGAGTTTTACAACCAAAACGCGGACACTTTTGCCCAACCGGATGCAGTTTGTAGGTTCTGAGCTGTTTCTTCTGCTAGGCCCTAGGGCTCTTCGGAGGAATTTGTCGTCTAATACTTTCCGCATCGCTTCCATAATGCCACAGAAGCTACCATTCAGTATGTTTCCATCGAATTCGACAGTTTCGTTTATCCTCACTACAACCGAATCATTGGCAATCCATTACTCTCGCAGCTTGTTGATTGTTTCAGTTTATGGGGCTGCTTTCCGCCAGGCAACTGAATGAATTGCTAATGAGTGGACGGATTTAGGTTTGGTTTTATTTGGTTCGTCGCAATTAGATTACAACCTGCAGTGATGAGCTGCCAATTCAGGAAAGCACCAGACGATTGTTTCGCCCTATCAAGACTCGTCAGTTGTGCGCATTCTCTCAGTTCCCCACTGGGGATCGAACCCGTGATCGCTAGTGGCCTGCACCGCTAGCCAGCGGCTTATGCCACTGAGCCATGGAGGACGACAGCCGACCATCGTATGTTACTAATGAGTGGCGGAGACTTTTGTATACTTCAGAGGTAATTCATCGCGGTCAATTCTCAGTCAGCAGGCCTTGGCAAGTCGGGAGAAGCACCAGACAGCGCTGTTTCGACTTTTTGGGTCTCCTCAGTGGTGCGCCTTCCATCGGGCCCTTGCCGGGTTCCGACCCCATGACTTCGGATGCCAGCAGCTAGTGTCACTTCGCCATGGGTGACAGAGATATAGCCCTACCCATCCTCCATTGCCATGCAGGTTATTGGCCGTGCAGAGAACAGTGCTTGACCATCCGTACCAGGACTTCCCTTGCCAGTGCCATAAATCCACACAGCATTTCAAGGACTGGTCGAACTTAGTTTTTGTTTACCTGCATAGAAGTGGTGGATGAATCGGGCTATATCGTACTTAGATTTCAATTCGTGCTGGTCGGTTATTGTACCCTATGGCTCATTAGCATAAGCTGCTGGCTAGTCGTGCAAGCTACTCGAGGTCATGAGTTTGATTCCCAGCAGAAGACCGAATTAATGCTCACCACTGACTAGCCCCAATATGGCGAAACAAGTGTCTGCTGCTTTTCCGGGTTGATAGCTCACCTTTGCGGCTTGCAATCTAATTGCGATTAGCCAAATAAGATTGAAGGAATTGTTTGTCTTTACCCCTTCGAAATACCATGGTTATTACTCCGTTTGAAGTAGTCCCCTCGGGGGCACGCTTTTCCACCAGATACATCTCAGCTATTTTGTCAACTTTTTCTGATGACTATCCCGTTGCGCATTTTCTTGTTCCAGACTCAGTACTGTATTCTGTCATGCCACTATCCAAAAGCGTAACTATGTTTATGTACGTTGCTCATTGCGGCCATACTATACCTTTTCCTAATCCGACGTCGCAGGGAATTCGTTTACGCACCGAGCGACACACCTTCCATCATTCTGGATCAAATGTATCTAAATGGTGGGGCGACGGTTGTTTTACCTATATCCGCTTTTGTTACCCTCCTCAGGTGAGCTTTGGCATCCTGCCTACGGAATAGCTTCTCTGACGGATCGGTTGTCTCGTCCTTCGTGGCCTTGGCAGCCACGCGTCACTGATTCAGGTAATAACAGCGAGGCTAGCATGACAGAGACAGATGTGTGTGGCTTGTTCGACTCTAGTATTGCCAATATTTCCGGCAATGTTACCATTCCCATTCCCAACTCACTTCTGGAAGAAAGCAATCGTGACAGCGGTCTGGTGCCTGACTTTACCTCGTTTGGGAACGGAACCATCGGCGATCATTTGGAAACCAGCCAACTGGGGGCATATTGCGATAGCGATCAGTTCACAGGTTAGCCGACACCACCCTGGTTTTTTTATCCATCAACCCATTTTAATTCACTAGGTTACGTTAATTCCCCGTTCTTTTTATCAAGCGACCGAATCGGTACTGTGTACACACATTCGCATTCATAGATTTTCTCACAGAATTCCCAATCCATGTGCTTACCACTTACAAAGAGGCTCGATTGCATTCTCGTTTCCTTCATTCTGTTATGTACCTGTGTGTTTACTTAGTCCCGTGTGCAAACTACGCGACGACACCTCACATCCCATCCTATGACGCTCACGTCTTTCTGTGTCTCAGCTCTTCTTCTGTCATTTGGGGTTTGCATTCTTCCGGTTCCCTTCGTCCAGCTGTTCTCAGGTAACTGTGTTCACACCTCGCTCCATCATGGTCGAATTCCGTGTCTCATCGTTGCACACTGTGCGATTACGGAGACGCATCTCATTAATGAGCAGCTGCTTTACGCATACCCTTAAAAGTACTCGGGTCATGTTACCCTTGACTTAACTGTGCGGCACAAGTAACAGTTAGAGGTACATTCTCAGTTCTAACCCACATCATTTTTATCTAGCAATTAGGGCTGCATCCACCAATTTATGGCAACAGTTTTTATTACAGTTCCTCATTTGTATTTTTGCACATTTCCCAATTTTTATGTAATTGATTACTCTCTGAAGTGCTCAATCTGGCCTAGTGTGATCAAACCGTTGATCAAAACCTTGAATGGTTTAGGCTCTAGTGCAACACCCACTTGCGATGTGCCGAAAACTCCAGCCTGAGAACGAGGTTTCACCTGCACCATGTTACTGGAGACCGATCATCCTGTTTTTCATCCCACGCATTTCCATACATTCGTCTACTTAACTGTTCTTCACAAAATTTTAAACTTGCAACTGACTGGGAATTCATATTTTCGTTTGGTTTCAGGATACAAAACCGATACGCGATACCAGCCTTCACAAAAGCCGATTTGTACTCTAAAACCTGAAATTATATCCTTCTGATTTTTTGTTAGTAGTACACGATGGAAACATATTGGACTGCGAGCACCGTTATGTGATGGTGCCTTCTGTTTAGGTCCCTAAGCCTCCCATAGCGGCCACCATTTCGCCCGCGTAATCGCAGTCACGATGGGTTGCAGTCTCCGGCAAGCCAGCCGTCTATCTATTCCCTCATGCTGCTACGTTTTGGGACCCTAGGCAGATGTGCAGAATTTGTGGTCCCGAAACCCATTCGGTAACTTGGAATAAGGGTGTTACGTCAAGCTCTGTCAAATATATGTGCTTTAGACACCCACATAAAAGGGATCTTTATCCGAACGCAATCGAATCAGTGTGCTCCGACGACCACAATGCCCGATAACTTAGTCCCGAGATTATTTCAGCTGACATTCACACTCACTCTTCGGCGCTCGTGCGAAAAAGTTGTTCTCGATTGATTGAACATCAACAGGCGAGCGAATGAATTCAACACTGGGAACCCACACCGCTATCATGTGTTCACTAGTGACTGTTGTTTGTCCGTGCATGCGATCTGTCGCCTCTTTTGATTGAACCAGAACTGTAACTGTTTAGCTGAATGCGCTGTCAGCCTTGGCGTTCGTGTGTTCCTTTTGCGCTATAAATGTCTCCAAAATACGTAGACCTTAGTGCGTCCAAATCAAATGGTCACTTGTGACATATGCGATATGGTGTCACAACCCCAGTTGTCTCCACCCATATCATTACAACACCAGTACGAAATAACGATGAGGAAACATGAAAGGAGAAAGTGCTCCCAAGTCTCTTGACCATCGGATCGGCTTTTTGATGTCTTCAATACGGATTAACCGTTTATGTTCTATGAAATAACACCGGCCCAACTCTACCTTTGACTTTTGGGTTGGTGGTTTGCAACCGGAATAACTGGATGAGTGCTTGAAAGGCCACATCTGATCCTATAGAGCAACCTATTAGTTGACTTGGCCAGCGGCAATAATGCAGCTGCCCAGCTAGCTGAACCGATCATTTTGCGTGCCTGATCGATGCTAACTGGGGTCAGCGCTTGATGGTTTGATCACTAATAGTATCTTCCGCTTGTTAAACGTGCGTCACATGCTAACACGTGCAGTCCACACTGAGCTAGTCTGATTAGTAAATCCTGAGGGCCTTATTGTCTGCGTGCCCAGATTCGTTAAACAGCCACTAGGTAGAATTTTTACTCCCTGGGCATTCATTATTATTATTTCGCGCGCAAGCCCAGAGGGAGACATGAAAGTATACAGCACCGATATGCCACATTTACCACTGGAGGCTTAGGATTATATTCATTCACACGGCGCTAGGAATCAGCCTAACAGCTTCTTAGGATTCAAACGAATATTGTATGTTGCCCACCCGAAAACGCTGCACTCGAGCAGGCAACACCCAATATGCACATGCTCCGTCCGTTGCATTCCCCGTGATCACATTGACCAAGGTTCAGTTCAGTGAGAATCGCTGTCCACATTGAGATTGCGCATCGCAATCCATTCACACAACCAGTGCTTCAGAATGCTCCGCTGAACATAGGAATAAGGATTATTTCAGTTAACTGCTTACGACCCGCCCACCAAAGTCCAGTGGAGCCGTTTACATTGTTTTGTGTCACTGGGATAACGATAATTAAGAGTACTGAATGGAATGGGTGGGAACGCGACTGGACTATAAGAATAAGAAAACGAACACAAGTGGGTAAAATTTTCCTGTTAGGTTGTTGACAGGCACAAACGCAAATACCGGAGCGTTGTAGCGTCCGCGACCGTGCCATGTCATATTCAACTATTTATAAGGCTGACCCCAAGACACTTTCTCGAATACCATACGTATTGGCTTCGGAATGTTTTCATCATTATTTTCTTCGTGTCACTGCTTGATCATTTCGCGATCTCTTCTGACTAGGTCATCATGGTCATTAAACGTATTAGCTGGCTATTGTGCCGCAATTCCAACTGAATTAACTGTTATTCGAGATGGATGAGCAAGAAAGAAATAGAGGAAACTAAAACGAAAAATTACATTATGCGTCGAAACTGAACTTGCGCTCGGAGGGGGAGGCTGAGCTGAATGGGGATGAACAAAGATCACAACACAAGCGCAACTGAGTCCGATTCTTCGTCATGTCCACGTGTGGATCCAGCCATACATGTCCATTGTTTTTGACCCGAACTCGGGAGTCGAGAAACACCAACCGATGTCCACTTTAATGCGCGTCTTCATTTCTCTTGACCAAGTCATCGGTTGGTGTTCCTTCTTCTTCCCAGTCGCACGAACATCGCATTTCGTGAGAGTCGGTGTGCCGGCATGCGTAACACACAGCCCAGCCATCGGAGCCTGGTACCTGATCTAACGGTGCTGAGTGGTTCACACGCTCTTCATGCACCGAAAACGAGACGCCGAACACACTCAGCGCTCACGCGGTGTCCGCACCAGATGTGAACCAAACTACGAAGATACTGGTGGTCGAATGTAAATAGTCTGTACATCTGTCGACTTGATGAGTCTAACGTACACAACCGCACATTAGGTTAAACGGACTGGGTTGTATGTGGACTCTAGCCTTCAGAGCGAGGGTAACGTCGAAGATTGAAAAAGCGCCTCGAAGTTTTGCTATACGGTTCATGATCTCATCTTCTATCCCACAGGCATTGACATCAGGTACTTGAATCTCTGATCAACTTTTAGCTGATTTCGGCCGATGGCCGTGTGGTCTACACACCTGGCTTTCAATCATAACGTCACCGGTTCGGATCTAGGTAGGGACGGGCGTCCTCACGGTATACTCAGCCCACGCGCGACTGGTGGTGGTCGCTCGGCAGCGAAACGCCTTTAGGGAGTACAGCTGACATATTATTCCTCTTACCTTATCACCACCTAGGATCAACTCAGAGCCCGGTCCCTGACAATCTTGGAGGATGACTTTACACTTCCAGGGTGAAAAGCGTAGCCCGAAACAATTGACAGCCAGAGCTAATTTATCCAGTTCTGCTTGGCACGTTTGGAATCTGTCACACACCAGGGTAATTCCGTTGGCTTACTCCGAGTTTAGAATTCGATCACCTGGGAGCAGCGTCACACCTTTTAAGTCGTGCTCAGTGTATGCAGTTTCTATTACTTCGTTACTTTCAAGTTAAAATGGGAAACAGCGGGCATCCCGGTTTCACACTGCTGGGGATATTGAGTGGCGGCGACAACCTGTCATAAGCCCTGTCTCTGCTCGAACTACGCGCGTAAAACGCACTTTTGGTTTTTCTTGGACATACCCGTTCAAATCTGATAATTTTGCAGCCAATGGTAATGACTTCAACACCACTACCTAACACACTGAATGACTAATCAGAACGAGGCGAACTTAGTAGTTCTGTACGCCTATATAAGAAACGTATTAGCGGGTGACAGTATCCATCATTGGGTTTGCCTTCTGCCAATTTCCGCTACCTGACTGCCATCGATCCTGCCCTGACGATGCCATCTCGAATGAGGGTGAAGCGTTTGCAATCAACTTGCCCAGCTCGGCGAACACCACAACAACGGAACTTCATAGAAGTTCAGTGTCATTATGACGAGACGACAACATTTCGATACTCAGGGCATCCTAGTTGGTATGCCTGACTGAGGACTGGAATAACTTCACAGCTGTCTATCGACGGAGGCACTTTGTATGCCTCGCGGCTTGGCATGATCAGAGCCGGCGCAGGTATTCCAGAACGACTGACAATCTCCATTGGAACCACGCCACCTGTAACTTAGGGCAGCGTACTCCGCCACATGGTACCACCGCTGACCAGCCGTAAAGGGATGGCATTTAGCCAACTATCTAAAAGCAGTGTTACTAAGATACAATCGGTGATCGGTGCACAGTTGCAACAGACGATCTCCGAACTTGTGACACTGCGAAGCCGCGTGCTTTGTTCGGGGTCGAAACTGTCATTGACAAATCCGTAACCGCAGTCGGTGGGGCATAAGCGGCAAGCACAAAAACGAACATCTTGTACTACTCCCTATGTTACTTGATCCCCACACAGGGGCTGCACACAGAAATCCACTCCACCGACGATAACTCTGTGTTGGTGCTGAGAACTATGCCCACCCCAGCTGGACCAGTGGTTGCCGCACCAACGTCTCCAGATGCGTGCAACCAATAACGAGAGGACAAACCGGCAGCATTTAGTTCGGTAATCACGTGTACGTCACTGATCCTAGTTTCGGACACGTCAATAGCCAGGGCGACTAACGTGCATGCGTGTGCAATCTGTTTAACTATTGGTCTTGAAGTGAGAACATTGCGCTCCAACGAAGAAACGAGAGAGCTTGTCCTTATAAGAGGCTGCTGCCAATATGCGTCCAGATTGTGGCGCAGAAAGATAGCTGCAGATGGTAGAACTGCAGTGGCATTGCAGTTGTTCGCAACTAAGCTGGAAATTACAAAAGAGTGGTTAGTAATGGGTGTCAGGAAAGAAGTCAAATCAAAATAAGCTTTATCCACCGATATGGGCGCATTCCCAACAATTCAAACCAACGCTGTGGATTGTAATACAACAAATCATCAATGAGCAAGTAATAATTAACAACAGTGGGACGAAAATGTGCATCCTCAATCAAGAATATGGTCACGCAAGCGGCGCTTCCTTGCTGAAGGATAGAGTTTCGGTAGGACGAGGTACTAGAATAAGAAGCATTAAATTTCGAATAATTAAGAGGAATGGGTGAATAAATGAAAGGGGGCGTCAGCACTGAGATTTTCTCACTTATCCGTCCTGCTGTATGCAGGAGATAAGGCGACATTTGGAAAGCTGCGTGACAATCAATGCATGATGTGATTGAAGTATGATGAGCTAGTGTTGATCATTTATGGGCTAAGATACTGCCAGATCACCTAAACCTAGATAGGAGTTCAATTACGGCCCTCAGCCAAGGCGTTTGGCTCTAAAGCCTGTCCGCAACAGCAGAGAGTTGGCAATGATTTGGTTTCACAGAAATAGACGCCGTCCGATTTCTGACCTCCAAACTGGTGGGCAAGGAGATTGTTTGTCTGACTGCTAACCATTGACCAATCTGGTTGGAGTAGCTCTCCATCAACCAGGGGGCTTCATTCAGTTTATGTCAGTGGGCCGAAGAGGTTGGCAATTCGTCGCACCACATTAAAGTCCACCTCTTTTCGACGGACAGCTTCCCATAGACAGGCGACTACTGGAATCGCGGTAAAGAAACTTGAGAATGGCAAAGATTTTCCCTATCACGTCGTTTAGGAATAGGCAGTACCAAGAGCTGATATGATCAATTCAGCAGATCAGTTTTCAAACAAAAGAAAACCGCCACTTTATTCTCTACATTCAAGTCACATGTCAAACATCCAACCAAGGCTAAACGTAGCCTGTGCACCCTCCATCGGGGTGGAATGTGCACTTGTTTTCACTAGTCCGACTCTCATGGGACCATTGAACATGTGGTCAATTTTGAAGCGATGATAAGATGACCAGTGGCTCGATTACATCCTGGAACGCTTTCTAAATATGGATCAAAGCTTCCTTACCTCCAGCCTAATAATGCGACTTATATTGTTGAACAGAACGGCTAAGCATTTCACCAACCAGTCTTCTCCGCCTTTCAGTGACGATGCAGAAACATCGTCGGCTCCATTCGTCTTGTTTCGGTGCACTGGAACGGGTTCACGTCAAACCTCTACAAAGGTAGACGGCATCACGTTGGCGTCACAGCCAATTTCACGGGGCTAGGCAAAGGATAGTGTCACAGTAAGTATGTCGAATTACTAAAGATGGCCCACTCAACCGTAGTACATTTGGTTGAGGACAGATCGATTGTCCGTCTTTCAGTTCCTGTGTCTTAGCTAATTGCTTTCTTATATCCGCGCCCCGGATGTGTTGGACCGGTTTTCTGATGTTACCAATGGCACTGTTCTTTTTTATAACTCGGTACTCTGCCACCTATTTATTTTGGCTGCCTATTCGAAAACCTGAAGTCTGAAATCATTGTGGTGCGTTACCGACACTTCAAAACTCCATCCACCCTCGAGCTATCCACTGCATGATGTTTATTTCATGGTACTTCACTTCTTGCCTTTAGGTCGACAGTTTGACAAACGATTTGGTAGGTTAGGTAGGGATTTGCTTAATGGTTCACACTCGGAACGAATCTACACTTTTTTGTTCAGGGGCTGCTTAGCTTCAGGTGACCAGTGATAAACCAGTAAAGATTGGTGCTCTCCAACAGTCACAAACAGCCCGTGACAGTCATGCTCTACTTCCACAGATCCGTTGTTATAGCCTACACATTGTTACTTTCCATACCTGGATCTTAGAGAAGAGCCAACAACTCCTCCACTGCCTCCGACCTGGGGCACAGATTTGCTTGGCTTGATCTCTAATCATTGACTGCTGGGAGGTGAATAATTAAAAGCAGTTGGAAAGTTCCACCCAGCGAAGCTCACTGTAACATCTCCGGTACGGAGATCAACATGCCACGTTGAAATCATTCTCGCCCCATCCACCTTAACTGTAGATAGCACCGTGAGCAGTCCCATTCAACTTACTTAAGTGCTGTGTAAGAGCCTACGCCGTAGATCGTCTATCGCTCTACCCCGTTTTTGCGGTTCAGTTTACACATACCGATGGTTACTCACCGATCTAGCTAGATGCTCTCTGTTGCTTTTTGGTTACACGACGACTAGGGGCATTTTATTTCCTACACCCGACTCCTTGCTTTCAGCTGTCAGTCTCGCGGTTATGGCTTTTGTCTTTCATTTCATTCTTAATTCACCTTTTTAGTTCCCTCTCACTCCTATGAATAATTTCATCATGACGACACGGGTCACGGTAGTTGGCTCCATTGAATTCCTGTGCTTCGATGTTAATTCAGTAAGACGGACTGAGCCGGTGTTTTGTTGTTCTGAGTCGATTATCTCCTACCATCTGCCCAGAGAGCTTAGCTCTGCATCGGCCATCGTCATTGATTGAAAGAAGTGTCCTCGGTTATTCTGGTAGTCTCGGGTAAATAGTGGCTCTTCGTTGTTGTCGATGCCATGTGATTCGCGTTCGGTTAATTCCATACACCGCTAAAAGTGTTCACTCACCTAACTTTCCATCATTTTTGGTTTTCTTCACCGCAATTCCCATCCCGATGTTTTGCGGTTGCGACTGTTAACTACGTCCTGATGTTTTCAGAAGAGCCAGTTCCATTTTATCCACCTCTATGGTTGCTTTCTAGGTCGTCAGTTGCCATCAGATACCTCGTATGGTTCAATCGCCAAACCCTCAACCGGATCGATGCGGGTCCCTTCCGATGTGTCAGATGAAGGCCAACTACCGTATCCCCAGTTTTTCAATACTCGCTTGGGCGTTCTTAGCCCTGAAAATTTGACCATTGCAGGTGCTGGCTTTCATTCTCCTTTGGACGATATCCTATTAAATACGAGTTGTGCTCTGGACAGCCTAGATCAGCTGACCGCTTGCAATACTGCAAGTGTCGCACCAAATGCCAGTTTATCACCCATAGCAACTGTTGCTACGTCAGGCCCCATGGCTATTCCTGGACGCCCTACCGATACGGATCTATCGGCTCCACGATTTGATCCGACTTCCGGCTTGAGTTCGCATTTCTACTCTGCACTGTCCGCTCATAGCGCCTTATCAGAACAACTACAGCAGCCACATGACTCAAATAAACCTTTGCTGCAGAACACTTGGCCTCTTGATGCACACGAACTTTCGGAACCCGAGACTAGAAAGTATTCTACGGATATATCATCTCCAATTCGATCACAAATGTCACAAAGCTTTTCTCCCATAGTCGGTGCTCCGCTTACTCACACTCGCCAGAAGCCCACCTTTGACTTGAGTAGCGACGCCACTTCGCCATCCATGGAAGCCGCCTACGCCTGCTCTCGTGAGGTGAGTTAGATGTCAGGTGTCTTCGCTGCAGGTTCAGGGTCATGACCGTTTTCCTCTGTGTATCCATGGCTAGTCATACAACGTACCTTAACGGACACCCTCTCCTAGTTAGCTTGCCTTTGATGGGTTTTCATCGACATCTCGATCTATCTCCGATTATCTGAACTGGTAGTGTTTTTATATCTTAACCATTACACAAACCCGCTCCGCTCTCAACACTGTCGTTTGCGCCCCGTGACTACGAGAGCAACCGATTAGTGAGGTCCGTTCCAAGTTCAGTGACCGCACTTTTCTTTACGTGTCTGTGCCTAATGTGTCTCTCCGTCCAATATGATCAACAACCCCGTCGCCTCGCTCTCTATTCGATGCCTTCATATCTATTGATCTTCTGATCGTAATGGCCATTCGTCTGGCTAATGTAAGTGGTTTGCCACGCATATGGTCGATTGATCATGTGTACTTTTACCTCAATTGAGCGTCCAGCATGACAGCATGCGCAACATCTGCGCTTATTCGTTTATCTCGATGAGAACTATTTACCGAGTTCTTCGCCTTTATGCAAATCACGATCCAAATACAGATTCGTTGTCGCCCTCCAGTCACACGGTGGTCGTTACAAATGCCCTCAGCATCTTTGATTTATGTGATTCTTATTTTCTGCGCCTTCAAAGTGCACAGTATTGTTACTGGACTGGACCGGTGCACCACCGGTGCTGGCTATCAGCGAACAGGTACTGGAAGTTGTGGATCCGTTCACGTATCTTGGTGGCTGTCACCTCTCGTGGTCACATCACTGAGGAGATTACGTCGGGCATCAACAAGGCGCGCGCGGCTTTCAAAATGCTCATCCATCTATGGATACGACGGGATATCAGCCTGTCAGGGAAACTTAGGGTGTATAACACTGTGCTAAGGCCGGTGTTACTGTAACTATCCGTGATCTGGCCAGTTTTTCTGTGAAGTGATAATACCATTGACCGTATTTAATCACCGGTACTTGCGTAGTATTTCTTAAGTCTAGTGGGAACTCTGGTCAAGCAATGCTTAGGTTCGCCAGTTGCTTTCTTCGGCTTTCTCGTCACGGGGCCTTCAAATCGGTCGTTGCTGTTTTTCATGTTGGAAATGTCCCTGCCCGGCCGCATAATGCCTACTTTGACTTGACGACTAATGTACCACTGAAGTGTGTTGAAATTGGACGGCTTACACTAGCTAGGTGATATCCGTCGCCTGCCTTCCTCGGTGTGGGTTACACGCCGTCTGGCTGATAATATTTAATCCCTCCTAATTAGTTTAACGCACGTAATTATTAATTCAAGTTTCTTTGTATTTTGTTAACGTTTAACCACATTTCTTTATTGTTAACCTGGCGGTAACCGGTTCCATCACACCTCGATACCATCATCGTACTTGTTTAAACTGAAGCTGAGTTGATCCCTCTTATGAGGGATAGATAACCTTCTTGGGTGCATTCAAAAGTCAGCTTCGATGCAGAGGTTTAGTTACAAAACTGAATCTAATATACATTCCTACCTGGTCACTTGTATTACTGCCGATGATGATTGTTTCTTATTGAGTTCACTACTTATTTAAAATCGAACAAACCTTGGTTGTAAGTTAAACAGCAACTCTTCTTGCCCTACTGAGAACGGGTCAGCGGGGCTAGTCATTGGTACTCACTTCACGAATCCGAAGATACTTATTGTTTCCAAATTCTGGTTTTGTGTCTTCGATCGTCTTTCGATGTATATGTGCATTCTATCCAGTCGATGAGCCCACCTCAGAGATGAGCACACATCAAATCCATCGGTAGTTATGTGCTCATCGTGTAGACTTCCGTTGTAATTGTCTACGTGCATGTTTCATGGAATTACAGCGTTCTCCGATTTGTGCTTGTTTTGATGATGATGACACAGGCTTCACAATTGTCCTGCGTTTGTGCAAATGACACTTGTTCTTATGAGCTAGCTTCTTATTTACCGGGCCATTTGCCCCACCGTCCATGTCTTCTATCTCGGCTCCAGTGCTAAACCAATGCAAAGTGGCTCTATCTAGCTACGCATCTTGTTTCTCTTATTGGAAATGTGCTTCGCCGATCCTTTCTGATCTATCTGATCTTTAAAACCTCATTCAGAACAGCATTTTGTAGTGAACTCTCCTAATTTGTTATTACTTTGTTGCAGCACTATTAGCAAACTCATACATTTGTGCTCTGTAGTACATAAATAAACATACATTCTATATCTTCGTTTTCGGCGAAACTCAATTGTCACAACATGTTCAGATAATTGAAAACATTTTCCAGTGCAACGATCACGAATGATTGGCAAATGTACAATAATGTTGCAAATCGATTTTCACTTTTCACAACATAATTGTTCGTTGTTGTTTCAAATGATGTCCTTATCCGGATTGGTGAGCCCCTTGAGAATATGAGTGAAATACTTCAGGTGATTTTGTATAGGAGAAATATCTATCCAACGTATTACGTTCGTGTAAACTTTCTATGACACGCTGTGGCCTTTGCGTCACTCGAGGCTACTCATGAAACTCAGATGTTGTTTATGGCAGCCACATGTGATGCTAGAGCAAAGAGGTGCCTAGGAAAGGGAACTGTAAGAGTAGACTGCAATAAAAGTACTGGGAACATTGACGATGAGAACCGCGTAGAGATGTGTCCAATTGCTTTCCTTCCTCAGCACACACTTGTTGGTGATCACCTTGGGGTTGGCATATCCGAGTGTGAGTGAGAAGACAATGAGTGTTGAGGTATTCCCACTTCAGTATTCACTTTTTGTTGCAGGCTGTTTCCTGCATCATGTGGATCCTGGGCTTTGCCCGTATGCTTGGCTATTTGTGATGTTACAGGTAGAAGTACATCACATCTAGACTCGGTCAGCCAGTCGTCACGCCCGGAAAAGCACTGTATGGCTGTTTCTTGCTTTCGGGAATTGTCAGTAGTGAGCACTCCACCTGACACTTGTAGGGCCTGAGCCAGCTACTCGATGTTGCCAGTCTGTGGTTATTATGTGACATTCCATTAGCTTGATCCCGTTTTGCTCAATCATATGTTTGATGGTAATTATGCGCAATTCGTGATCTGAATTGCGAACACCTCTATGAGACAGTAATTTGTTCCAGATTCTGCTATATCTGTTAAGGAAGGTGTTCGCGGATCAAGTAGTCTTCGAACTACGTTCCACTACTAAATTATCGTTGGTTCGTGTTGTGTACTGGTAGATGAAGTACTGCCGTGTTAAGGTTGGAAACGTGCATTTTCCAGTGCATGACGTCAAGGAATATCGTACAAAATAATCGAATTTCACTGAAATACCTAATTGGAGTTTTGCTAATATTTGTTGCACAAGTTCTAACGTAATTGGGTCGTGTTTGTTTGTGCCCTTGTACACTATTGAACAGTGTTCTATTAGGGGACGAGAAAGTGCTGATTGGGTGCTAAGTGGGGATTCTGCAACAGCAAATATTCTAAATGACATTCCGATGCTCTATCTGGCGTCCGCAGTGACGCAAACCATTGGTTCGAAGAAGTGAATTGAGCATGGATAACTCAGTCCCAGGTCACGACTGGTTTGTCACATATTACTTGGCTTCTCATACACGGTCGGACCGCGAGATGTTACGTCGAATTTATAGGACATTGCGTAGCACTTATTTGTCGTAAATGACATTCCCCATTTTGAGCACTATGTTCCCAGTGCGTGGAGGTCAAGCTGGGTCATTTTGATATCTTCATGTTTGCAGGCTTGTAGTGTAGACACTTTTGATATCGTCGGCCAAAACGTATGGTGTTCCGAATTTTACTGCGTTAAGGCTATCGTTACCATACATAGTGTCATCTGCTAACAGCTGCTTTTTCCACCTCAATATTATGTTCTCGGTTTATTCAGCCGAAGGGTGATTCTAGTTTTCCTTAATTATTTTTATGATTTCAGCGTTTTTCTCTCACCTTTTCACTATATGTTGCAGACATTTCGTTACAGCTATCAATCAATTACGCTATTTCCATTTTTGAAGGTTGTATCTACCTCGATTCCATCTGCTGAACGTCCTGCGAAACTCATCAACAAAAGTAGCTTAGCGTCCCCATCGCAAACGATGACTCCACTTAGCCGCGGTGGGATGGGGTCAGCTAGCGCCTTATCCCGAACTCCGGCGGCTGTGGATTTCAATAATCTGCCTCAATCTCCCATTCTTCTGTCGTCTCCATTCAGTAATCCAGGTTCGGAGTTAGAGCGTTTGTCTTTGCAACGAGAGTTGGACGAGGTTCGTCAGCGTTTGGGATCGGTACGTTTCACAAAGCACCTTTGTTAACTTTTTTTCTCGATCTTCGCATGCTTGTCGAGATTCCTGTTTTGGAGTGCTTCCCCGTTAAAACGGTTCATTGTCTAGCCCAGTGATATCCTGTTGTGATTTCTACATCCTGCCATGTTTTTGCCAATGAAACAAACGCAGCTGCTAATTGTGAGCAGAAACCTACGCCTGCTGTTACTTTCCACTTATAGTTACTTTACAGGAGGTGAGATGTGCTCGTAGACAGGTTACCCGGCTGCACTTGCACACACATTGTATAACCCAGATGTAGATTTGTGTTACGTTTGCAAAGTCAGGACCTATGCGATTGTTGAACTGACTGCACCGCGTTTGTCTTCTCATTACCTTTTCTCAGTCAAGTGTATCATCCATAACGCTCCTCAACTTCTTCTATAGCTCTCTCAGAGCTGTCCTCAACGCTATCAAATCACATGTAACTGTTCGTCAAAAGCTAATCCCAAATCATCCGATTGTATTACAGATGAATACACGGAGTGGGGTGCTGGTATTGCTGATTTAGGATTGGTTATTCGGTGAGCAGTACCGGGTAGGGGCGTTCGCGCCATTGGGTGCAATTTGATAACTTTGCGGACCTTCTCGAGAGATCTATGATTGAGCATGATTTTCTTAAGGAATTTGTAAATTCTATGAGTGCGATTATCTGAGAACCTATTAGATGTGGACGCAGTGATTACAAGTCAAGTTTGGGTAGGCATTGTTTTCAGCTCCGTTGCTTGGCTGGTTGGATTTCACTTGGCCAACCCTCTATGCGCAGCTCGTTTGACGACATCAAGTATGTTTAGAGCACGGCACGGTGCCAGGCGCCGTGTGGTCTTGGTTGTCGGCTGCAGTTCGGATGCTGCTGAAAACACGTTTGCCCCGAACGTTGCACACACACTACTTCGCAAATTTACGAGCTCAGCGGCACTGCTTGTAAAGTGGCCTATGACTGCTCAAATTGACCTTATAGTTACCTCGAAAACTCAGCGCTTGATTCTGATTTTGCTATCATTGGCGAGGGTTTATGCTGTAGCATGATGAGCATTCGCTGTTCGTTACTATCACGGTATCTAAACACAGTGGACACCAGTATTCCATTCGCGTGATTTACCTTGCCGTGGCTTACAGCCGTCAGCACTGGTGTTTGTTCTCGCCTCAGATTGCTTACCCGTTTAACTTGTATCTGGTGTCGAGCTGTTTGTTGGGTAATGCTCATTATGGCGTGGGGCAGTGAAACTCACGAGGAAAATGTCTTACCCATGCTGCGTCATTTTCATGCTGCATACAGCAGGACGGATAAGTGAGAAAATCTCAGTGCTGACGCCCCCTTTCATTTATTCACCCGTTTCTCTTAATTATTCCAAATTTAATGCTTCTTATTCTAGTACCTCGTCCTTCTGAAACCATTCTGCCTTATCTATCACGGTTATTAGACAGTCCTTCAGCAAGAAAGCGCTGCTTGCCTGACCATATCCTTGATTGAGGATGAACATTTTCGTTTCACTGCTGTTAATTATTGTTTGCTTATTGATGATTTGTTGTATTACAATCCGCAGCGTTGGTGTGAATTGTTGGAAATGCGCCCATATAGGTGGTTAAAGCTTATTTTGATTTGACTTCTTTCCTGACACCCATTACTAACCACTGTTTTGTAATTTCCAGCTTAGTTGCGAACAACTGCAATGCCACTGCAGTTCTACCATCTGCAGCTATCTTTCTGCGCCACAACCTGGACGCCTATCGGCAACAGCCTCTTATAAGGCCACGCTCTCTTTTCCCTGGTGGGGTTCAACGTTCCCTCTCTCTAAGACTAGTAGGTCAACAGACTGCACACGCGCGCACGTTGGACACCCTGGGTATGGACGTGTGTTGTGTGTCCGAAACTAGGATCAATGACTCTCATGGGTTTGCTGAACTAACTGCGCCCGGCTTGTCTTCTCGGAATTGGTTGCACGCCTCCGGAGACGTTGGTGCGGCAACCACTGGTCCAGCTGGGGTGGACATAGTTCTCAGCCCCAACGCCGAGTCATCGTTGGCTCTATTGGATTTCTGTGTGCTGCCCTTTTCATGAAATCAGCTAAGCTTAACAGAGACCTTAGCACAAGACGCTGTTTCTTTATGTTTGCCGCTTATGTCTCAACCACTGCTGTTCTGAATTTGTCAATGACACTTTCTACTACGAACCGAGACGCTGCTTCGTAGTGTCACCAGTTCAGGTATCGTCTGTTATAACTGTGCACCGATTACCGATTGTTTCTTAATAACACTACTTTTAGACAGTTGTCTCCGAAATGCTACATGCCGTCCCTCTATGGCTGGTCAGCGATGGACCCAAATACACCATGTTGCCCTAAGTTACAAATGCCGTTGTTCTACCGCAGATTGTCAGTCGTTCTGGAATATCTGCGCCGGCTCTGATCATGCTTTGGGACGCTTTCGGTTTTCCACGAACTTTGCCGCGAAGCCTACAAAGTGCCTCCCTCGATTTGCAACTGTTATCCCAGCGCATTGCTTTGAGTGCCGAACTTTCGCTCTCTTGTCCTAATGACACTGAGCTTCTGTAGAATACAACAAAAACAAAACAAACAACAACAGCAGTACATCAGCCATTTGAACTGATGCTTCGCTGCCCTACAACCATGGTGACCTATGAAATAACCAATAAGAAGAGGGAGATAAGGGGACTTACCTGAAAACCTTAATGCCCTAAGCAAACAATCAGGACCAAGGCGCCTACACCTTGTGTAGACAACATACCGTCACAAACAGCTGGCTATCGTGCAAAGATAAGGCGGCATCGGCGAGACAGCTTCCTTGCGGCTTTCACTGCCCCGCGTCATAATCAGCCATTACTCCGCAGATAACTCAGCACCAAACACATTTTAAACAGACAATCCGATTAGGAGACGGCAGCAAACACGCCATTGGTGTCAGTTGCGCGCCATGTTTTGTCAAGTCTCGAGTCAAGCACAAGGCGAGTCACTAGGACTCCAGCCCGGAAGGCGAGACGGACCAACGGCGCCCAGTATGGTTGTTAGTGACCTCATTTCCCACTGACAAGTCAACTGTTTAACTCGATCATTGCGCCACCCTACACCTGGCAAACTAAACAAGGCTCTCCTGTGTAAGCGGTGACCAGGCACACGTAGCACGTGTTCGAGCCAACGCAACTTATTCAGTGCTATCTGTTGTTCTAGGGAGTTAGCATGATTATGACTACCTAGTACTCGCCTACGTACATCATCGTTTCGGACACGCTGGTGCCATCCAACACCAGCAATGCTTCGCAGACAACGATGATCAAAGACTTGAAGGCGCCTCAGATCTGCAGACCGAAGGGGCCAAGTCTCACAACCATAGAGCAGAACGGCCCTCACTGTGGCCTTGTATACACGGCCTTTCAGACGGAAGGAAACTCCCTTCTGTCGCCAAAGATGCCACATATATATATATATATTTGCAAAAGTCTGTTAACAGACATAATGCCATCAGAAACCATGGGATTCAAACAAAGGTACAGAAACAGTAAAATAAAACACAACACAACAATGTCCATGGTTTCCTCAGACGGCGAGATACTACCCGGTTGCCCAAGCCGAAGTAGGGTGTTGACTTAGGGGACACCACCCCGAGCCTTTGGCTGAATAGCCTGCCCGCAAGGCAGCGGAGCGAATTCAGGGAATCGCGCCCATTGGGAGCCGGTGACTGATTGCTCAGTTCATACGCCTTTTGTTTGTTCCTTTGTCAAACAGGGACCCAATGCTCCCCACATATACAAGAAGCCAGCTCTGGCCTTTGCAATGCTTGTGCTGACGTCAGTCTCTATGCGCCCATTGTTGCTGTTGCAGCTGCCAAGATAAGTGAATCGACCAACTGCCTCGAGTTCCTCGTTAGCAAGCGTCAAGGGGTCATCAAGGGGCTGGTGGTCCTGCAGCAACACTTTGCACTTTGAAGGTGCGAAGCGCATTCGTAATAATGGGACCACTCTAGACAGGCTATTCAGGGTTGATTGTGCCGCCGCAACATCTTCGAAAAGCAAGACGATATCGTCTGCATACTCAGCGTCAAATAATCTTTCACCAGGCAGCACTTCAGCGCCTACATCGTGAGATACCGTAAGGGAACACTCCACGATAGAATCCACGACGAAATTGAACAGAAAGGTGGAAATCGGACAATCCTGACAAACGTCACTTGTTGTCCGAAAGCTATCCGATAGGTCACCGTAGACCGTGACGCGGCCTGTAGTGTTCGAGTATAGAGCACGTACGATATTCCCATATTTCGTGGAAACATCTTTTCGCGCACTTATTTCGGACAGAACGCATCGAACGCGCTTGAGATCGAGGAACACAGCTATTGTCGATCTGCGGTATGCGTGGCACTGCACTAGCACATGCCGTAGAGTGAATATATGGTCTGTACAGCCACTTTTATTGCGGAAACCGCCCTGCCTTTCCCTAATCCGGGATTCCCGTTCCACAGTGAAGCGGCGAACGAGAATCGAAGCCAGTAATTTTGTCACAACTGAACTTATTCTAATATCTCTGTGGTTAGAACGGTCTGTGCGACTGCCCTTCCTGTATATTGCCACTATAATCTATTCGCTCCAATTAGCCGGGACAGTCTTCCTTCCAGATACTTTCGAATAGGGAGGTCAGTGCTTTGCAGAGGACCACGCGATTGAGGGCTGTGATTACGTTTCGGACCTCGATCTCCGACGGAGGCATCACCTGAGTAGGAAGAGGTACGGGAGCAGGGGGCCAGCTGAACTGATCTTGAAAGCGTTCCGCCCAACGAGCCAGACGGCGCTCTTTATTGTTTATCAGTGCACCCGCGCTGTCTCTGATTGTCTCACTGACGCCTGGTTTTCTGGGACCAGTGGTGCGGATCAACTGGAAGAGCTTGCGGTAATTGAATACTGCTCCTGCCTCCTCCATTTCTTGAGCCCGACTGGTCCACCAGGCTTCCTT